CAAATGAGTTTTGGCCGGCTCAAAGTAAACGCGTTTGAACAATTTTTAGTTGTTGGCATGGACCCGCCGCCGGAATTAGATGACGAGAAGGAGGTTATTAAACGGCGTCGTAATAATTATAACATATTAACCACACAGGTAACGGCAAAGGCATTTAATTGGTGCCAACAGCTATTTACACTTGATGAAATATTGCACACGTATAACGTTCGCACCGTCTACAGCAAAGTGAGCCGAGGCGATTGACTCGTCACCGTCTGCTGATGCCAATGAAGACGTTTGCCAAGGGGAGAAAAAATAAATATAATAAAAAACCGTGTTTGTGAACGAGCCACGAGGGAGGCGAAAAAAAGCCATTTCCGATCCGTGAATTATTGTGCTAGTCACGCTGTTCACTAAGAGAAGGAGCAAACATTTTTTTTTCTTCTTCCAAATCCACTCGGTCATGATCCGATGAAAGATCATTTTCAACTCTTTATTTCTCTTTCAGTCACGTTTAGCTTTTATTCAATACTTTTTGACTCGTCTCATGTGCCGCGGCTCGTACGGATTAGATTTTTTTTTTTTCTGACCACTTCGGCGTTTTATCAAACACGAGTAATTTTTTTTTTTTTCGTATGGAAAACCAACGTGACGAATCGTTACATCGATGCGCGACGGTCGAGCACGTGCGACGGACTCTGGCGATTCTGCTAATGTTTCAATCGCTGCACGACTTACAACGCGATGAGCTTCTAATTAAACGATAGTGAATTATGTAACTCAAATATGTAGTTTTCTTTGAATGGCAAAGTGACAAGGCAACAATGAGTTTTAAAAAACGATTCCCTTCAAACTTATCGTACAACTGTTGTAGTCGACCCGGAACGTCTATTGTTTTATTTAAAATATTTTCGTTCGAAATAAACGTGTGACTGTGCTGTTAACAAAACACTCTTTTGTAATAATATTTTATTTTTTACCTTAGTAATTAAAGCACCGTTTAAAAGTAAAATTCCCAAAAGTCAAAACGCTATACTCATACACAATATTATTAATGCACAAGCCTCTAATAATACACTGTAGACACGTCCATATAATTTCCTATAATAGTGTAAAGATAAAAAAAAATACCCAACACTCTGCACGCTATACTATGTAAAATATAATATTATAACATAATGACACAAAGAAGCGTAAAAATACCATTAAAATTCAGTAGTTAATATTCCATGGGCTTTGGACAGGTATATTTTTACATACAAAAATAGTCAAAATAATAAAAGTTTCTAATAGCAATTTAACCATAATTTTGTGTCTTACTACACGTACAAGACTATTTCCAATTAAAATTACGTTGATTAAAATGTTTTAACGGTACAAAATAATGTAAAAATAAATTTCACTGTTAGACCATATCTAATGGTAAAAAGATTATTTTAAATAATGAAGATAAAATAGTACTATTTTGTTTTTGTAAAAAATATTTAATATTTTCGACATTTTTGTTTATTTTTAATGTCGTTAGCGGTTGTCTTGTTCGATCAATTTCGCAACACGACAAATTTTAATTTTCTCAGTCTTACGGTCTGCCTTATTTTTATGTTCTCAGGACCAAGTGGAAACGACAAACGGCAGTTGGTTTGGAATTGTTGGCCGAGGCTGGCAACTATGCCGCTTTCCAACGGCTCTACGGAGGACCGCCGTACGGCTGTTGGCCTTATCCAGGAGGTGCCGCAGGGGCGGGTGGTAGTGGCTCTGGCCCCGGCAGCGCCCCGTCGGCCGCCGACTTGTATTACCGACAAGCCGCCGTAGCCGCAGCGGCCGTATCCACGCTACAGAAGCCGTTGGCGTACCGACTGTACCCGGGTATGGCCGGCGGTCCTGGAGCCGGTGGACACCATATACCGCCACCGCCACCGCCGACTCTGGCGCACCCACTTTACTACGGTGTCCATCACCCCGCAGCGATGCCACACATGCCAGGCGGCCGCAGCCCGACACCTGAACCGCACAGGTCTGCCCACGCTTCACCCAGGTCCATGGACAGCAGGCCCGGGTCCGTAGACGTTGAAGACGATCGTTCTATCGACTCGCCCACTGTGGACGTCTAATACACGATCTGCACGCAACCATCACGGGGACACAACACACACACACACACATACACACCATTACCTAGTCGTCGTTTTTCTCCTTAGTTTTAAAACATTGTACTTAATGTTTTTTTGTATGTTACAACTGTACATTATTATCATTTTGCGTTTTATTATTATTGTATACTCTCTAAAGTATTTCGTCGACCGGAAGCCGCAATTTTTTAATTGTACCGTACGAGTACAAAAATACATTGACTTATTATAATTTACATTTAATCTCATCGCTTTTACCGCGAAATAAAAGTAAAAATTATATCGATTAATGAATTATTAATATCGTTTATAGTGAAAAATATCGCAATTTAATTATTCATGTACCGGTTGTGAGTTGTTCAATAATAATAATACATACTCTTGTTTTTGTTACTGAGTAGTTCATAGTTATTTTTGTAAATAATAGAAAGCATTGGTGTATTATTAGAGACTTAAACGGCCGATTCTCATTTTGGACGTTCTGTTCACATAATATTAAATGAGTTATGAAAACTCTGCTTACAACTTTAATGATTAATAATAGATTATAAATTATTTTAATTAATTAAACGGATAGAACAAATTGAAAAAAAAACACATTTTTTTTTTATTTATTTATATATTAGGCTGTTAAGTATATACATAGTATTATTATATATATATATATATGACAAAATGTAATATGTTATATACGTAACAAAATAAAATTGTGCAATGTTATATGTAATTAGGCATATGTATTTTTTAATATAAAAATAGTTGTTTAGGTTATAGAGATCAGTACGTGTAGTCAAGTCGATTTGACAGTGCCAAAAAATTAGTGCAAAATTTTGAACGCTTCGTTATAATTATTTATGTACATTATTTACTGTTACTATATTATATACATCATATGTACGCCACGGGGAAATATCGTTTTCCAACCGACATAAACTCTATGTGAGTGCAAACTGGTCGTACTTACCTATTCTATTTACAATATTATAAGTATTCGATGTACTATTTCTATATATATATATAAATATGAGTATATTATTTATATACATTTATTGATCCGATTGAACGTGTAAATATTTAAATTTTCGTTACATCAAAAATAAATAATATTACTGTTTAGAGTTTAAAAAGTGTTGTTTGTGTTTTATTTACTTACGAACCTATACCTCTGCTCGTAAAAAACATACAGCTTAAATGACGTCGGGGTACTCGCTATTCACTGTATTCGTTTTACATTAGAAACAATTGTGGTAGGCGCGTTCAGCAGTATAGTGTTGCCTGGGGCGTTATGGTTCATTCGTTTCGTACAATGATCACAGGGACCTTTTAATTTGGCCCGCTGTTTATCGAAAGCAATAATAGATTGTAAAAATACGGTTTTTTTTGTGTGTGGGCCTCCTATTCAATGCACATCGTGTTAATCCGAAACGGATCGAACGACATGTTGTGGATACGTGTGAAGAGGTCCGGTACAATTAGCTTGGACACCTCTACGTCGCAATCGATACACAAACGCTTTTCTGTGCGGCATCGTTATTTTCCGTCCAGATGGTCAATTGTGTCGAACCGGAAGCGCATATTATGGTAAAATGAACGCGCAGTTATCATAATCGGCTCGGCAATAATATCATTGTAATGAACGTACGGCCCGGGACGAACTTGACAAAAACAATACGAGTAATTGCCAAGTTAGGTCTATGCCTGCGCGCAAACCTTTTTTAACGGCAATGCACAAACGCGTACGGTATGTGTGCGCACAGTAAACGCAAAAAACGCCGAGGGCGTGTCAAGTACAAACGAGATGTAATTGAACGCCATTTCCATCGCACGGCTACTACCGCCTCGGTTTAGTGACCCCTCCGCGATCTGTACGGAGTGTGTTTTTTACCATTGCGATTTATTTGCAATATCCATACGACGACGTCGTGGCATGCGTTAAAAACGTTGACCGATCATTACACGAACACGGGCTAATTCTAGATGCCTTTATATTATTCAGCAATAAGGAAGTTTTAGAGGGAAAAAGGGCGTGTGACCATTCTTGAATATTGGATTACACGAAAACGGAATACTTTACTATTATACTCGACTAATAGATAGGCTAACGCATGCAAATTAGCCCATCAATAATAAATACCGTTCGTGTTAGGTATGTACTACAGGTCCCAATACATTTATAGAATATAACCGCAGAGTTCAAATGTACAATATTATAATATATTTAATATGTACAATACCCTTTCGTTTTCGAGCAAAAACGTTGTAACCGTTTCCTTTCAAAAAAATGCTGTCGACATTGAATCGTGAAATATGGCAACTGAATTATATATATTAATACATACCGAATCTAACATGAAATTTAATAAACATACTTCTATCCATATTGGATTTTCAAACAAACATTTTTCTAACCAATTAACTTGCTTAACTTAATTTATTAGTGCAGTCTAGATAAAAAAATAAATATTTGGGCTTCAATATCCAGAATTGATTTGCTCCTAACTCGTTAATTATAACAAAGAAAAATAAATGCTCAATTTTTTTATGCTAGCTATACATTGTGCATTTTTAACTTTCTGTCATTGTTCAAAAAAAGAACAAACTGAAAAACTTTGAAACGTATAAATAACTTTTTAAATTGATCAATTACCTATTTCTACGAATACAATTGACTATAAAATATTCAATACTTATTAACAATTCCCATAAAAAGTTTTAAGCTTTTACGAATAAGTCTTTAGAGTTTGGGAAACTTATCCAAGTTAAAAATTCTTTTAAATAACGTGGACACTAATAATAATGACCGTGACCGGTAAACAGTAAATTGAATCAATGTGTATAATGTGATAAAATATTTACCAATGTAGTTTTTAAGTTATAAGGCACACAATGTAATAAAAAGAAAATTATGCTTGCTAAAAAATTAAACGATATTTTATAATTCAGACATTACGTCAGAAACGTATATTTCTCATTATAATAAGTTAATTTTGTAATTAAGTAATAATAAACTACATGAATATGTATGATTCTAACGACAAAATCGTTATGAACGTGAAACTTAATGGAAAACATAAAAACTAATGAAAACGGGAAACGAAAATTGATATAGTTTCAAAAATATTATACAGTTTTTTTTTATTCGATAATTCTAATTCAAACTAAAACAGAAGATTACGGTACACGTCGTCATGATAACACTATTGTTATACATATTTTTTTGTTTCATCGTGTCCAAAAGGGAATTGTGTCCTCATCGAAATGACTGCGCACATTTAGCTAGTTTTAAATCCAATTATTGTTACAAAACGCATTCGTTTTTTACTAATAACGTATTTACACTTTTTTTGTGTCATGTCCAGCGTGACATGCGCGGTCTCATTGGTTCATCCAACCTGCAAGTCGGAGTCAAACTCATGTACAAACACACAAAGGTAATAAAAAAAAAAAAAATTCCATCCTTTTCCATCGAATAACATGAAATAATTTATCCTCCGTGACCTTATACGTGTAATGTAATATACATGTATTTATTGTGCGGCTATAACGCTAAGTACGACGTGTGTTTTATCTGTAGTGTCATTAGACACGCCAAAAAAAAATGATGCATGCACACACGTATAATTTAATTGCGGTTTTTAACGCCAACAGCGCCTGTCATATGTGAACGTTTGCGTTTTGTATTTTATACAACAATACCAACAGATACTTGTGATGTATATAAATATACGATATGCTATGCTTGTTTTGTGACACGAGGAATTATTTTTTTTTATATAAATATATTTTTGTGTTTTTCCACTCGACGCATCAACGTTTATGTGCATGTCTGTAGGGCCATTGTGTGTTCTTCCGGCGGGAAACGGAAGCGAAAATATCGGCGGCCAATGCTTTTCTTCGGCACTCGTCGCGCCTATTAACCTTTTAAACGCAACCAGCCACCAGTTGTTCTCGTTTTTGTTTCTATGAACAAACAAATTTTACAAAAAAAAATCAAACACTAGTTAAACTTAACGCCGATCGCTTAAGAAATCCGTTACGATCTTTGTGTAAATAAAATATTGTTTCAAAATTAATCGAGGGAAAAAAATAAATGTTAGGTACTAAAAGGTATGCAACTTGTAATGCTGCGAACACTAGACATGTGGTGGTGTCTAGTTCCATCTCATTGGAAAATTCCTCTACCGTTTGATGATTATAAAAAACGGTGCAAAATATATCAATATTGATTAAAAATACATACATAATACTTGAAAATCTTTAACAGTATTTTTGTGTAATATTTAGTTACACCTGGTTTAGTATTTTGTGATCAAGTTTTTTTTCATAGCTCCCAGTGGTCATCATTAATTTTCAGTGCATAAGTATTCGATTCCGAAATTCCAGGTAAATCATTTCCAGTTCGGTGAAGGCGTATTTAGTTACTTCATATCATTAAGGAATTTCTCAATGAAAAATATAAAGCGCGTGTGTCTACTACGTTTATGAAAATACAATACTGTTCAAGTTTTATGAACGAACCAACTGATTACGAATAGACCGAGATTCAACGAGGTGAGCAATTCCATTAAAAAAAAAAATTTAAACAATGTCAATTGTACGACGATCATTGAGCTGTAAAAATATTAACGCAAACGGCAAAAGTACTTTACTAAAAGAGCAAAATGGAAATTCTAATATACTTCGGTGTTAAAAGCTTGATAAAAAAAAATAATGGAAACTTTACAAACGGTTGGCTCAATATATTTTTTTTTTAGAAATTCGACTGAATTTCAATTGGTTTACACCAACATAGATTTCTATCGTAACGCAAACCGCAAGTCAATCCACTTTTTGCACGTGATGGTGCAGTTAAACGCTGACGTGGTAAAAAGTAGTTAAATTGAGGTCTAGGGAAGGCAAATAAATTCTTCCTGCAATCGTCACCACATAATGATCAATTTCACAAGTCTGTGGTTCTCCAAGCAACTCATACCTCATGTTCCGGTTGTTTGATTTGCGTGTTTTTAAACATGGAAATATTTTTATTTGTGTACCATAGTAGTTACAACGCATTACACACTAGTTGAATGACTCGCTAATAATGAAAATCAAGTTAAATGACATTTATTCGATTCTAATAGCGAACTACTAATAATTTGGAGGCCTAAAGTAATTTTATTTTAGATTACATTTCAACGTATAGGTACGTAGTGTGCCGTTTGTATTTATCTTAGACAGCGCAACGTCAATTTCCAATGTTAATTATTACTTGGGATCACAATTTGTAGTCATAAAATGTTTTATTTGAACACTACAATAAGCACTTAAGAATAATGTTTTTAGGGCTTTACGCACTAAAAAGAAATCAAAAAAATGTTTAACAATTATTTCATGAAAATATTTATTAGTTCAGTTAATGAAAAACTAAACTTTTATCATTACAATTAAAAATAAAGTTTTTGAAAAGGCGTAAGAAGTTTAATACTTGTATTTGACATTAAGGACAATGAACAAATCTCAATCATAGTGTAAATATTTGATATCCAATCATGGTTTGCCTGCATCTACTCGCATATTATTTATTTATAGCCTTTGTACTGAGACTACCTAAAAAAACTAGAGAAAACTGAGCGACCACCTTAAAAACAAGTATTCCTAGATGCTGCATAGAAATGATATTTGTTTTAAATGTTGTCCCTGTTTTACTTCTAAATTAAGATGAATTTAAAAATCAATTACCAAAAGAAATAGAAAATTTCAAATCAAAGTCATGAGGTTACTAAGGATATGTGCTATACTCCAGAACTATTTTTTGTTAAAATAAGGGCAACAAATATATTTTCACATAATAACAAAAGTATCAAGAAGCCTCTAAAAACATTTCAGTTAAAAATAATTCTATGTCATCTTAATGTTTCATTTGTTTTCAAAGAACCTTCCCCGAAAAATGCTTTAATATAAACACAATTGAAAAATTCTTAGTAACAAAAAATATTACATTAGTATAAATCTGAATACTTCTAAATATAAGTCTAAACACAAAAACATAAAATAAAATAAATGGTTAATTTTTATTCGAAGTAAACTTGAAGTTATTCTCTAATTTCGTTTGATCGAATTATCTGAA